GTTAGATGGGATCCAAATACCCCAGCATGAATCGTGGCCACATAGAGCCGGGCTTTGAGCAGTGTGTGACCCAGCAAACTTGGCAGAGAAAGCCTGGTGACCTTGCTACATTTCAGCGGTTGCCGTTAGCAAAACTGGGGGAAAAAACTGGCAGCCAGGCAGGACGTGATAAAAATATCCCGCTTTCAAGGGGTTAAATTGGTGTGTAAAAGACTGAGTAAAAGATACTTTATTATAATATAGTCAGACAATATTTCTTAAGGGCGACGGGGCCTTGGGTGGTAATTTGCCTTCTAGAAGCTTCTGGAGTACACCACTACATGCAGTGTCCTTGAAGGGCTACCAGCCCTCACCACACATTAAGACAGACAAAACCTAAAGTTATGCATATACATGTACTTGTACATATATGTGCAAGTTTGGTGTTGGTTTTAGACTTAACAAAAAAATTTACACTTACGTACATATGTATGTATGGCAGTGTTTGGCTTGGACTGAAAAATAGGTTGAGAATGCTGGTGCAATGGAATGACTCCTGGCCCACATCCTTAAAATTGCATGCTATGTAAACTTGTTACAGGAAGGTGACTGTCAATCACCGTTGTGACTTCTGTTTACTGGCATACCCATATCTGATTTCTTTGCGTACCTCTGTAATAACTTTATGTGTGTATTTTAATTTGCACGTGTCTAATTTATATGGTGAACAGTGTGTCAAAGTCAAGTCAATTTAGAAGTTAATGGGGAACATGCTCTTATTTTCTAGATCGTAAAACTTGAGATAATGAAGTAATTATTCACAATGTACAGCTAGATGGTTGAGTTGCATCAGGAATAGCCAAGGGCATGTTGCATGTCTCCTTTCATCATTATCTACAAATTAATCTTCAGTGGTCCATGTGCATGGTTTGACTCCCTGAATGATGCACAGATGTTTGCCACAATCACTTTAGACAGTTCTTTGAGTTTTATATAAAGAAATTGACTGCAGGGGTGATACTTGTATGTAAAACTGGGACCAGGGTTTTGTAGCAGGGTATGATCAAGGGTCATTGGCCTGTGGGGATTATTACAACCAACAAGCTACAGCTCCACTTGGGTTACACTACGCAGAACTCATTGCTAGCCTTGGCGAGACATGACAAAACAATCTCACATTTAGTGCCCATCATGTCAGGAGAACTGACATGGGAACAAAAAAAGGAACAAGCGGAGTATCTGCATGTAACATAGGCAGTGCATAGGGCATATACTCAGGAGTTGGCACATGGTGCTGAAAGCAGATCACATTGTGTGGAACACCAAAAGGGATAAATGTCTCAAATCACAAATCTGTGCCCTATCCGCGATAACAATATTTTGTAGTGTATTTTGTATTGTGCATGTCTGATTGGGTTGAAACCTTAGCACTTACTGCAAACAGAATTTTCTGGAAGGCCACAGTTGATTTTCTGTGGCTTTTTATAACATGAACGTAATATTTACATTTTTAACATTTAATTATAAATCCCTTAATGACATCATCACGAGGTAATTATTTTTGTACTATCTTTGTTTTAAGGTCTGTGCTTGGTGTAACTTTGATGACAACCTAACATCGCTAAATTACCAAAATTGTGCCTTGAAAATGTGTGCAAAGTCAATGGGCTGAAATAAATATTAAAAGTCAATAAAAAATCACTTAATGAGGGTGCAACCCAATGGCAGATGTACTTCAGAAGATATTGGGCTTTAAGGTGTGCATCTTTAATGTCACATGGCTTATTTCCTCATAAGGTCATCATCACATCAGTTCAATAGTCATCTATAACACTTCCCTGTCTAGTTATATGCAAAGATTTCAAACCGATAGGACTTATTCTTCAGAAGATATAGGGCTGTAAAGAGTGCACCATTGATATCAAATGACTTGTCTCCTGCTGACGTCATCATGAAATGAGGTCATTTTTCTTGTTAAACACTTTGATTTCAAATTATCTGCAAAGTTTCGACCCAATGGAACAGGTACTTCAGGAAATATGGGGCTTTGAGGGGTGCACCTTTAACGTCAGGTGATTTGCTACATGATGACGTCATCAAATCAGGTAACTGTTCATCGAAAGCACTCGCCTTCTAAGATATCTGCAAAGTTTGAATCCAATCGGACATGTGCATGTACTTCACGAGATATACTGCTTTGAAAAGTGTACCTTTAATGTCACATGACTTGTCACATGATGACGACATCATTAAATCAGGTCAATGCTCGTCTAAAGCATTCCCCTTCTAAGATATCTGCAAGGTTTGAAACCAATAGGACATGCACTTCATGAGATACAGTGCTTTGAAGAGTGCACCTTTAATGTCACATGACATGATCATCTGATGATGTCATCATCACATGACATCAATTTTTATCTATAACACGTCCCCATCTAAATACCTACCAACTTTCAACCCAATTGGACATGCACTTCAGGAGATATACTGGTAGCACTTTAAAGGATGCACCTCTTATGTCACGACCCGTCAGCTGATGACATTGTCATCACATGTGGTCAGTCACTGTTAATAAATCTTTCCTTCCTAGCTATCTGCAAGGTTTCAACCCAATCAGACATTTGCAATACAAAATACAATAGAAAGCATTATTGTTATTGCAGAAAGAGCGCAGATTAGAGATTTTCGACTTTTTTTTTTGGCATTCCATACAATGTGATCTGCTCACAGCACCATGTGCTTGGATGTTTGCCAACTCCTGAGTATATGCCTTACGCACCGTGCGCTGCCTATGTTACAGGCAGATATTGTGCATCCACGCTAACAGTAACCAATGCACAGTATGCGAATGGGATTTTCGAGTTTGCAAATATTGTAAGGGGATTTTTGTCGTTGGCACTTAATTCATCTGTGTGAAGAAGTACAGCACTAATGCAACTAATGCAGTTGACTTCAATGTTTTAGCTATCATCTACTGAACAATTCATGCTTAAGTTTGTTATGTTTGATTGTTTACCAAATTTTGAAGACTTAAAGGACTTTTTATTATAACTTGCGGTCTGATGACGTCATCTGCCGCAAATTTCACACATGTATAAAGTGGGTAAAGATTATCATCTACATCAATTTTCAGGAAATTCGGAAGAAACCTCGCCACAAACATCTATTCAAAAATCATTTTTCAGAGTTTTCAACCTATTGCTAGAGGGCGCTCGACAATTACGTGACATCATCAGTAGATGATTTGAAGTATACTGTACCCCAACAGACTGACATCATTGAAAACAAGTTGATACGATACCTATTACCACTTTTAAACAATAAGGCCACTTCCGGTTTTCCCCGGAAGGAAGGGTCACATAATTTGACTCACACAAGATGATTTAAAGACCAAATTATACTCTGCCACTTGACGCAAACTGAAAATTACTGAAGACTGGCTGTGGAACAAAAAACATGTTCAAAACCTAAATATAAAATATCGAAAAATCAATAAAAAATCAGCAGGTGACGTCATGACGTCATAAATTTGGCATAGTTTTTGTAGCAGGGTTTTTATTGGCTGCAACTTGAAAACATGTACAAAGTCAATTTGTTAAAAACACCTATGCAGAAAAACTTTGTTTAAACTGAAAATATTTTCTGAAATATTACTTGATATTTTGACTCTAGGGTGTATTTGTAATCAAAAGGAAAAATTTCGTCTGATTTCTCTTTCGTTCTGGCAGTAATTCTCGGTCTTAGTTGAGGACTACTCACTCATTAAGATCTATTAGTGTGTCGTGGAAAAATGTGTACAAACAATATGGAGGAAAAGTGCAGCTTCAACTTCATGTCATGTGACCCCTGATGCGGTCATTATGACTATTGTGTCCTAGGACCCTCCCAACATGATCGACTACAAGTGTGCACAAATATGGGATCTGTCCGATTGATCAATCTCAAAGACTGGCTGTCAAAAAATGTGCGCAAAATCTATGGGGAAAAGTGAACATTCAAAAATCAATAAAAAAATTAGGTGATGATGTCATCAGACTTCAAAATCTTGGCATCATTGTAGAACGGTCACTGTTTGCTGTAACTTTGATGACTAATGAAGATCGCCAAGTTACAGAAATGGTGGCTTGAAAACATATACGAAGTCAATGGCCTAAAAATAAGTATGCATAAAAACTGCACCTTTAAATTCAAGTCACATGATTTGCATTTAAACTGAAACATTTTATGAAAAATTACTTGATATTCTGACTCTTCGGTTATATTTCAAATCAGACGAAGAGAAAAAAGTTATATTTTTTCTTTTGTTCTTATAGTAATCTTCAGCCAAAATTAAGGACTTCTCACTCATCAAAATAATGTGTGTGAGTACAAAAACATGTACATTACATGTGACACGTGACCCCCTTATGATGTAATTATGATGATTTTGTTCTGGGACCCTTTCTTCGTGGTGGACTACGAGTGTTCACAAATATGAAATCAATTAGATCGACCGGAGTCCCAAAATCTAGCTGTTGAAAACCTAAATATTCAAAAATCAATCAAAAGTCACATAATGATGTCATCATGACTTCATAAATTTGGACTTCTTTTTGTGTCAGGGTCCTTGTTAGCTGTAACTTTGATGAGAATTGGCGATCGTCAAATTACCAAACTTGTGCCATGAAAATGTGTACAAAGTCATTGGGCTGAAATTAATATCCAAAATCAATAAATAAATCACTTGATAACGTTATCATGACATCACCGTTCTAGACACATCTACACACAAGGGTCCTTCATTGATGTACCGGTAAGTTTGATGAAGATTTGAAGTTGTTTAGGAAAAAAGTCGATGCCAGGAAAAACATGTACAAAACAAAGGGTGTTTGGGTCATCATCAGAAGAAAAAAAAAGACTGACATGTATAAGACTGGTTGTTTTATGTATGTACAAGTCGTTTTTTATTTTTCGTATTTCCTCATACCACTATATATATTTCTCTGAAATTTCCTTTATTTTTTTTCTTTTCATGTTGGTAGGAGGACAGACTGATGTATGAGGTCACATGACACTTTGAGATGCTGAGACGTAAGCTCTAGCAACAGGAGAACCAGGTCAAGGTACTGCGGAGAAAAAGAATATCAGCCAAGGTTATGCTACTGGATAAACAGAAGAGGTAGGGCTCATGTTAGTTGGAGGAGTCAATTTACAGTGTCACTCTTCTGTCTAGTCATTGTGCGTGTTACTTTATGTGAGATTAGAAATGTGAATCAAGAGCAAAATGACACGGATTTATTTATGACATCACAAATTTTTAATTCACTGAATTACAAGTGGGTAAATAGCATTTTAAAATGTTAAAAATTACACCAAAAGATAACAGGAGATGAATGTTTTGTTTGTCAAAAGACAAACACTGAGCTGTTTTGGGAAACTCTTTTGGTTTGATAAAAAAAGGAATTTGGAATGTCTAGGAATTGAACAGCTGTCATATAGTCCGCAGTTCAAAATTTTTGTGGGACCACTACCCTCCTTGCTACATCGTAGAGCATGACAATATACGCTCACACATGCTTTCCCAGCCATGTTTTGGAATTTTGCCAGATTCCCCTAAAATAGCGGGCCTCCGTTACATGCTTTACACGTACAAAGTATATGGATCGTACTGTTACGGCTCTTAACCCTACGGGTCGAATTGCTGGTATTTTCAACGGATGGCATTTTTCTTATCAGCCGCGCACAGTGTGTATGAATACTGCAACCAGCCAAACATTTTAGACAATGGATGGAGATATTTACTCTAGCTTTCAATGGTGAATTGTAGACTTTAGCTTTTTGGATTAATTTTTAGCAATTTTTAACGATTTAAAGGTCTTCTCGTTATATATAACTTCCAGTCTCATGATATCATCAGCCACAAATCTCACAAGTGTTAACTGGGTACAGATCATCATCCAAATCAATTTTCAGGCAATTCTGACAAACTGCGCCACAGACATGTATTCAAAATTCCTTTTTCAAAATTTTCAACCTGTCGCTAGAGGACGCTCGACAATAATGTAACGTCATTAGCAGAGATGATATCAAGAATACTACACAGTCAGTCCGCAGCGCATTGATAAGCTATTCTTTTAATATGCACTGTATGCATGACGTTCTGTGCGTGACCTCGTTTTGAATACTTAATGAGCTGTCGAAGACGCATGGAATGGGAGCAAAAATGTTCATTTTATTTGCTGAATAACATTGGTATATTTCATTTGAAGAGGTAATCATTCTATCATACTTGGAAGTCTGCTCAGAACTTACTTGATATCTGGTGGGTAACATTTACAATGGAAAAAAGGCTTCAAACTTCAACAAAATAGCCATCTGAAAACGCCAAGATTTTCTTCTTTTGAATGTGACCACAGCCTGATTTCACTCTCAGGAACAAGGAAACATTGTATTCCTCTGAAAAGCTTTCCGTTTTGAGTTGATTTTCAGTAGTCTAGTCACAGTGCATGAAATTATAATGATCACCAAGAAAACGATAACAGAAAATTCCGCCATAACCAGCCGCAGTCTTCCTGCTCCCTCATTGGTCAAAAATGATCGATGATCGATCCACAGAACAATGCTAACATGAAAATTTTGAATCAACTTATTAGTGAAGTAGCTGATAAAAAGCTGGCAATCATTTTGAAGCAAGAAGTTGGTAGCCATTTTGAAATTAAATATTTGTACTTGGTGACTATCAAGGAAACCAATTAAAATATAAAGGCAATCTCATCCTTTTAATTTTGAGGAAAAAAGGAAGATCAACTAGATGATTTAAGCTTATTGTCTTTGACGTTACTTCTTTGGCCATTTGTTTGGCATGAAATTATTGCAAATATTACATTACAAAGATGTGTTCAATATGTTAATACACATTATAAGTTGTCCAATGAATACAGAACTGAAAACATACATACAAAAAATGGTAATGCTGTCTGTGTCTGATTAAGATCAAAATATTCTCAACACTTCCTTGGCATAGTTTTGACATTTAGTTCAAACAAATACTAAAAATATAACATGCCTGTGGGTGACATGGCAACAACGAAATCAACTAAAGGGTGTTCAGATACTTGTCTAAACTACAAAAATAGTTAATACTGGAATGCAAAACATTTCAAACTACATACATGTACACAAAAATAATACTGTATGAATCCAGCAGTGCATTTAAATCTCTAAATATTCTCCACACCAGGTACAGTTTTTTGGCACAACACCACAAAACAAATATGAAATTACTGTATATAGTACGGCTGTATAACTTAAAGGCAACAAATATTTATGTCCAGTAAAAATACCTTTGCACAGATGGAATACTAAAAGGTCTTGGTATGTATTATAACTGTGCTTGTAGCCACAAGACCAGGGAGATTATTCTTAACTTGTACACAAACTATATGGAGTACTGTAGATAGAACATCAGCTGATCTGTGTTGAAGACTGCTGATCACGCCCTGAGTACACTGCCTCAGGAAATGAAATTTTGATTATTACAGTGTTAGTCAAATGATGGGTCTCTTTCCATCATGGTCTGATCTGAAGAAACCCAGGGCTGATGGCACTAGTATTCCCCAGCAACTCCATTGGGCATTTGCTGCCATTCTGTGTCGGTGAGAAAAACAACGTCACTGGCAAGATCACACTGTTGGGCCATGGCACTGTGACACCCCAAAAGACTTCAATGGGTGCTGCGGAGCGCACTGGACTACTGCGACACCGAGGCCTCAGACCACCACAGGCCATCTGCAGCTCCAGGTTTCGGTTCGGTATCTACTGGTGAATACCAGTAGAGCCTTCAGTGATAGCTTCTACCACAAAGTATCAATAAGAGACTATCTGAGTCTCTCAGTAAATGATTTCAAATGTAATTTAATCAAGTTGTTTTTCGTGGTCCTTCTGAAGAGACTTCACCTTCTCCTAATGAGGTAGCTCTTCATGTTACGAGGAGATTTCATCCTGCAACCAAATAAGAATTCCATATTTTCCTCAATGGCTCCAATATAATATAAAAGCAATGTGATCAAATTGAAAATTATCATTTCCTTGAATAATTAATACAAATTTGGGTGCAGTCTCCTGTTAAAGATTAGACATCAGATCTGATTTATGAGGGAAGTACAAAATGTAACACTTGCTAGATCCTGATATGCAAAAGTTTCAATGCAAACATTTCGATGCAATTTTGAGACTTTTTCTTAATTTATTGGAGGCATAATTTTCTCTAGTCTTCTGCATTCACATACCCCTGCCTAGCCTACATATGCAAATTTCCCATGTGCCTATTGCAGTTCGCTGAAAAGACTTGATTATGCATGCTGCCCCCTGACCCACCACAATGCAATGCAGTCCCGCCGCCATCTTCATCCTTCTTTTTTCAGTGCCTATAGTTTACGGATGTGTCTTTCATGACTCCTCGAATTCTAGAGTTCCGTACCTTTCCTGCTATTGAATTGACTTGATTCCTGTTACAAAGTAAAGAGTGTTTTCTTGTCTATCGGTAAGAGTGCTTATTTTGTGTTTTCTTGTGAATCTTTTCTGCCCCATTTTTCTGTGCATCATATATAGGTTGGGTTGTGACCTACCGTGATGTGTTACGTAGGTATGGCCTTTAAAGGGTTGGAGGGCCCTTTGCTCACTATGTGGTGCGTGCGTTCGAACAATAACAGCCCAATGCAGTTCGGGACTGGCCGCATAGCGGGGCTTAGTGAGCCACCCCGCTCCCCTGTGGTGCGGTTTTGCATTTTTCGATTAGCGGCCTCTACAAGGAGAGACCCGAGTAGGCAGGGGCTGAGGCACCCCAGGCCTTGATTGTCACAATCAGGCAGACCAGAGTACTGTGAAATCTGATCAATACTCTCCTTGACTAGAGAGAACCGGAGTACCACGACTCCTAGATCAAAACAGCCTCTATAGATCAGGTGGACGGGAGTACCACAAAGCCTTTGATCTCTGATGACCACTACCAGGATTGATCGGGCTGAGGGTGCAGTTCCGTAATAAAGCCCTTGCTCACTGATGACTACCCCCACCTACCCACCACCAAGCCAAGCCTGTTGGTATTCTGCCGTCGTCTTCTATGCCCACTCGCAGTGCCACAACTGGCGGCAGCGGCGCGGCCAAGCAGTCCGGGGGCCCAAGGTTGCAGGCCCCGAGGCTACACCTATTCATCAGGTTGAGTGGATTTTCCGCATCAATGCCTTTGATCACTATCGTTGGGAGTCAAGAGCCGTCCCTTCCTTTTATGCTGCAGGTTCTGGGCATTCCTACTTACCGCATCCCCGGACAGCCCCTACCGACTAATGGCTCAGCGGGGCCTGCAGGGCAACAGCCACTCTGAAGTCGGGCCAGTCAACTCCCTCCAGGCAGACAGCGGGCTCCACAGCAGGATTGCCACACTCCACCACTTCAGTCACGGGCGAGCCTACAACCCTGCATGCTCTCCAGCCTCCCGTTGCCTCGGACGATGGTGCCCCTTCTGGACTGTTACGTCGGCGGGGTTCCGCCACAGTTCACCCGCAGCTCCAACCCGCCGGTGGATTTCGGTCATGAACCTACTGATCTTGATTTCGGACATTCTTCCTAAGAGACAACCGACTTTTCGGGGGATCCTTGCCTGGCCCTTCCTCCACCCGTGCCGGCTTCCAGTCCCCCCGTTTTGATGAAGTCCAAGAAGCGCAAGGCCAAGTTAACCTTCCTTGGTTTCTTCCTCATCCAAGGCCGGGAAGAGATGCCATTCCAAGCCGGATCTGCCTCCATGGATGGCGACTCTCCAGTCTCTTTCGGAGGCCTTCTCGTCGCTCGCCAGCAAGATAAACTCTAAGTCTCAGCCAGCAGCAACGGCGCCTGATCCGGATCCTCTCCCAGCTGTTCTGCCTTCTACTCACAGGCTTTCTTCTGAGTCCGGGGTGACTTCTGTCCACCCAGATCTGTCTCCGCAACAAGTTCCAGCGCCAGACCAAGCCTCGACTCAATGCGATCCTCCTCCCGCCGAACTTGGCATTCAACCCTACTCTTCTGAGGATGATGACATCGACTTGGTGGCTGGTCTGACTCAATCGAAAGGCCGCCTCCTTCTCTTTTAATGCGACATAATCCATGTTCTGGGGCTCCCATCATCAGATCCTGTGCCAACCG